AAAAAAAAAAAAAAAAAAAAGCATCACCAAGAATCTGTGGACCTTAATTCCCATGTGTTTATTATAATTAAAGACATAATATTACTACTACTGATAACTTCTAAGAATGTTTTGAGAATTAAATGTAAAATGTATGTTGTAACCCCTTTTGAAAATTCTACAAAGCCATAACTTTATTTACAAGAGTTTTCTCCTAGTTCTGTGACTGTTCTCTCTTTACTTTCCTTTTCCCATTTCATTATAGAAGCCCTCTCCAAAATAAATCTTTAGGCTTTCTTCATTTTTCTCTCCATTCTCTTCCTCTTGGGTCCTGATTAATGCAATATTCTATTTAAAATATCTAAACATGTAATATTTCAGTAAAAAAAGATCAAATTAAGCAATCCACAATCTAAGGACTATGACATAGGAAAATAACTCTATGTTTTAATTTTAGTAAAGTTACTGTGAAATGATCTTACCATCTTAACAAAACACTATTTTACAAGTAAGTTTCATGTATCCTTTTTCCCTTCCTCCTTGCCTTCTGTTCTCTTAGGATATTTCTCTTTCTGTCATTCCTTTACAGCTGCTGCACAAAATGTCTGGTCGTGAGCAACATGGGTTTCAGAGATGCTCATCCTCTTTCTGGCGTAGTAGTGGTGATTCATCTCCCTGTCTCAATATTTCTTCCATCTCTGTCACTCCTGTCAACTTGCCTGATTCAAGACTATCACTTGGAATGTTAATACCACCACCTTCTAAATGTGGCTTTCCCAAGCCAGTCAGTGAGAGCAGCATCCCAAGACCTCATGTAATTTGCTAAGCAGATAACTTTTTATTATCCCACTTATTTTGTTTAAACTCTGCCAAAATGTGCTATTTACAAAGTTATCAAAAATTTAGATGTATCTTGAATCAACATGATGTGATCCGGAGCCTTTATGTGCCATTTTTGTTTGTTTACCTGATACCAGAAAGTGTAGAAATCCTTTGTAAATTTCTACACTATCACCACCAAGTATAGGGTGGTGATAGTATAGAAATTTACAAAGGATCTATCAGATATTGTAATTGGGAAATTAGATCATTGGTAAAAGCAATTTCGGTAGAGTTCAGTGCAAAAAGAGCAAAATCTAGATTGCTAAGAGTTAAAGATTGGATGAAGTAAATATTAGGACAGAACGTGTAGTATCTCTTTCAAAGAGCTTAGCCTTGAAGGAAAAGGAAAGAGATGAGAGGCTGGAAGATTAAAGAGGGACAGAGTAAGTAAATTTTTGGTTGGTTTGTTTTGCTTTTAATGACAACCAAGATTTTAGAATTTTTGTATCCTGAAAAAGAGCAGAGATATAGAAGTGAGAGGGGATACAGGAATGGGATAATTAAGGGAATGGTATTGCTGAGTAAGAGGAAAGAGGTAAGGGGATACAATAAACAAATTGTTATAGAAAGGGGGATGACAGCAATTTTCCTGCATGAAAAATAATATACTAGCAATTATTTTAGCTGAGTAGTAAATCCATCACTCTCTACACACATAAGCCTCATTTTTCATCACCTGCATCACCTGTGAATCAGAAAAGTAAACATATTCTGAGAAATCTAATTTTAATATGAACCACTCTAAGCAATCTTTGTTCACATTCTCACAGGAAAAGCACATTTTTCATCACTATTTTCCTCAAAATGGAAATTCTCTTTTTTTAAATCCCTGATCCAATCAGATGGTTTTCAAAGGCGATTATACATATATACCTATTGTCCCCTGTTTGATAAAGTGATGAATGTCTAATTTTTATATTACTTCTTGGCTACAACTTCATGAGATTTTTATTTATCTGTCCCTATATGTGTTCAGTTCTGACCCACACTGTTGTCAGAAAACTCAATGATTTGGGCAGTACATAGGTGATTATTAATTTAGTTTATAAGATAGCTATTTATTACAGAAAACTTGATGAAATCTTTCAAGAATAAAATGTACTGCAATGACTATCAGTTTAGTTATAAATACAAACTAAAATAAATCCTACTTTTGAGAATGCAAAAAAAATCAATTGCATTTGAATGCTTGTATTTAAGAAGGCGAGTCACTTATGCCTAATTATTCCTGTTTAAATGTAATCTTATGCAGAATATCTTACTGAAATCATATTTTTATGTGAATAGTTTCTAATATATCTAAGTCTCAGTTACAAGTAGCAAGCACTTCTATGTATCCAAAACATTCACTGTATCTTTTATATCTATCTGGAATAATATTGTTACCATTTTTGCAGAAATTTTCTATTGCTTTCTTCTTAATGAGCATTTATCATAATTAATAGAACCACATGAAATTGCCAATACTTAACTATTTTTGTTCTACAAAATGGCAAACTCTTATGATTCAACTGAATTTGTTTATATATGTTACATATGCATATGAAATATTTAGCATTACAATGTGTCTATATGAAATACTACCCTAATTCATATTATTTTCATTGCAGGTAGGCAGTATGGCACCTAAGTCGCCCTCCACTGACATCTTTGATATGATTCCATTTTCTCCAACATCCCACCAGTCTTCGATACCTACTCGCAATGGCACACAGCCACCTCCAGTGCCTAGTAGATCTTCTGAGATTAGTAAGCTTTCTCAACAAATCAATGTTCCTTGTTATATTTTTGTACATTTAAAATTATACATTTAAAATGCATAATTAAGACTTTGTGGGAAATTATGTATCTTAACCTCACTTACAATTTTAATTATTAAAGTATTATTTTTCTATATGTATAAATTTCCTTAATTATAATTTACTTTATAATTCAGACTATACTATTAAGACATCTCTATTTGCAACTTTTACCTATTCTGTGAACAATGATATTTTGCTGTATTACATAATAATATAAAATATTAACTATATATCACTGTTTTGGGATTATATTTTAATTTTTTACTTTATTAAAAATAACTATATTATTTTATTATATTATATTAATTTTGACATGTTTAATAGAGCTGGTTAAAATATTTTTGTCATCATAAGGTTTATGAACTTTTTTAGTTGAAAAATTATATAAATTATATGAATTTCATGAGCATATTAACCTTTTGTAAGGGTTTTTTCCTATCTAAAATGCTATAAATTCATTGCTTTTCTGTTTTATCTTTTATATATCTGGAATGAGCATTAAAGTCTCTATCTGATGAATTAGAAAACATCTAACAGATGCTCATTTTCAATATCTTGACTATAATATATATCCATCTGTGCCCTGTGACAGAAACTGAAAGAATAAATCTCAATGGTCATGAATCAGTCACTATGTCTAAAAGGAAACTGAAGAAAGGAGGGTTTTACACATTCTGCTTGATAGCATACTGTCTGGTTTACATTAAGTCATTGTGAATATAACTTGAAGTTTTAGCTTAAGACTTTAATACATGGCAGGGCCCATATTATATTTGTTTCCTCCATGGAATTTAAAATACATTGCTCGTGTTAGGTATTCAATACATGTTAGAGGACTAATTTGTGAATACAAAGTAATAAGACTAGTGTATTAGTCTGTTTTCACACATCTGTAAAGATACAGTCTGAGACTAGGTAATTTATAAGTGAAAGAGATTTAATTGACTCACAGTTCTGCATGGATAGAGGCTTTAGTAAACCCATTGTCATGGCAGAAAATAAAGGAGAAGCAAGGCACATCTTACGTGGCAGCAGAAAAGACAGTACATTCAGGGGAAACTGCCACCTTTAAACCATCAGATCTCATCAGAACTCCCTCTCTATCATGAGAACAGCAAGGGGGAAATTTCCAGCATGATCCAATCACTTCCCACCTGGTCCCTCCCTTGATAAGTGTGGATTACAATTTGAGATTAGATTTGAATGAAGACACAGACCCAAACCATATTATTCCACTTCTTGCTCCTCCCAAATCTCATGTCCTTTTCACATTTTAAAACCAATCATGCCTTTGCAACAATCTCTTAAAGTCTTAACTTATTCCAGCATTAACCCAAAAGTCCAAGTCCAAGGTTTTATCTGAGACAAGGCAAGTCTCTTTCACCTATGAGCCTGTAAAATAAAAGACAAGTTAGTTACTTGCAAAATACAATGAGGGTATAAGCATTGGGTAAATGTTCCCATTACAAATGACAGAAATTGGTAAAACAAAGGAGCCACAGTCCCTATGCAAGTTTGAAACCCAGTGGAGCAATCATTAAATCTTAAAGCTCCAAAATTATCTCCTTTTACTCCATGTGTCACATCCAGGGCATGCTAATGCAAGGTAGCTCCACCCCTGTGAGTCTGCAGGATACAGCCCCTTGGCTGCTTTTATAGGCTGGCATTGAGTGCTAGGCACAGAGTGTAAGCTATTGGTGGATCTACCACTGTGAGGTCTGGAAGACAGTGGACCTCTTCTCACAGCTCCACTAGGCAGTGCCCCAGTGTGGGGACTCTGTGTGGGGGCTCCAACCCCATATATTTCCTTTGCATTGTCCTAGTAGAGGTTCTCCATGAGGGCTCAACTCCTGCCACAGATTTCTGCCCAATCATCCAGGCATTTCCATACATCCTCTAAAATCTAGGCAGAGGCTCCTAAAACTCAACTCTTGTCTTCTGTGCCCCTCCGGGCCCAACACTGCATGGAAACAACCAAGGCTTAGGGTTTTTCCTTCTGAAGCAATGGCCTGAGCTATATCTTGGCCCCTTTTAGCCACAGCTGGAGCTGGAGTGGCTGGCATGCAGGGCACCACATCCTGAGGCTGCACAGAGCAGCAGAGCCCTGGACCTGGCCCATGAAACCATTTTTTCCTCTCAGTCCTCTGGGCCTTTGATGGGAGGGGCTGCCACAGATGTCTGACATGCGCTGGTGACATTTTCCTCGTTTTCTTGGCTATTAACATTCAGCTTCTTTTTACTTATGGAACTTTATGCAGCAGGCTTGAATTTCTCCTCAGAAAATGGAGTTTCTTTTCTACCACATAGGCAAGCTGCACATTTTCCAAGCTTTTATGCTCCACTTCCCTTTTAAACATAAGTTCCAATTTCAAATTATCTCTTTGAGAATGCGTATGACTGCATGCTTTTAGAAAAAGCCCAGTCACATCTTGAATGCTTTGCTGCTTAGAAATTTCTTCTGTCAGATATCCTAAATCATCTCTCTCAAGTTCAAAGTTCCACAGATTTCTAGGGCAGGGATAAAATGCTGCTATTCTCTTTGCTGAAGTGTAAGAAGAATGCTGTCGTAACACCTTGATAGATGTTTAAATATCTACATATTCCTGAGTATGAAAGTTTAATAAATATAGATAGAGAAATGCAGATTATATAATCTATATAAGTGAGTCCCTCCAAGTCACTTCTTGTCATTTCATTTACTAAATTTTTTCTTCCTTATACAATGGGACCTATTTGAAGCAGAAACTTTTGAGCAAATCTTCCTTTTCATTAACTCATTTTTAAACAAACATCTCCTATGTGAAAAGCATTGTTCAGTCTGCTTATGGTATAGTGGAAACCAGGACATTCCTTCAAAGAAAAGATCCTCTGAAATCTAAATTTTGATTTATTGCCTGAGCAACACTAAACTGAGGAAAATAAAAAATAGCAATTGTAATACTCCGCAGTTATATATAAGGAAACAATAAATTTCCATTTGATTAGGATAGTCCTGGCTTATAGATTTTGTCCCAGTGTAACTATTGGAAATACTCCTTTTACTTTTGAAAGTATCTGTAATCGGTTGATAAATTATATGTCCCCCTTATTTATACAATGCTTGCAAGTACAAAGAGATTATAAGAATTTCACAGTTATTAACTTATTTAAAGCAAGAATCTGGGAAAAAAAACAAACATGAAAACTGGAAATGTAAGGCTCCTTCACAATGAGAATCACAGAGCGATTTTACAGGATATGGCAGAAATCAAGTAGCATAAATATTTCTTACATAGCATTGAATTCAGAGAATGTAAATTTCTCTGCAAAATGAAGGTATGACTATGTTACAAATACAAATTTTCATATATAATTTAATATTTTTCCAATTAAGGATACATTTGAATTGATACAGAGGCAAGGAATTTCTTAAGAATTTTATTTTAAAATCTCATAAGAGACAATCTTATGAGATTTTATCTATCAGTGACAAACATCAATTTTGTCATCTATCAATGACAAACATCAATTTTAACTTTGATATTCCTTTAGTGATTAAAAGTAGCAATGCGTATTTTAGAATATATGTACAGAAAGCTTTTTGATACTGCATCCCTGCTGCTTTTAAAAAAGAAATGTATTTCTGGGATAGGAGGCATTTTTAAAGAAACTATCTCATAGTGGCTATCTAGAAAGGTGATGTCATTACATACTACATGAGGCAAGTGCTTTAAAATTTTCTCTGGATAAAAGGAGAGAGAACAGTGCATGAACTTTGAGCAGAGCTATCTGTAAGTCTACTTAGTCCTATGTATGGCTTTACTATTGTGTTGCAAGGCATCAATCAATGGAATTAAGGTAGTCTCAATGAGTAATGCATTAATTTTAACAAATTTAAATTGTTTCAGTAAAATATAGATATTGTAATTTATTAATTAGCAGCACTTTGATGAATCTGATATTAAGAAATCTTCATTAAAAACACAGAAACCTCTCTAGATAATAATTCTTTATAACAAAACTTTTTAATATAAAATGGATCTTTTCTTCCTTACGAATGTTTAACTGGTCTAAGCTCAGGAAAGAACAACATACAGTATAAGTGTGGATTAGTGGCTCATTTGATTATGTAAATATTCATTTATATAATCCTGCCTTTGAAATCACTCCAGCTCACTTCTTTTTATTTCATTTGCTAAATTATTTCCTTCTTTTTAGAACGGGACCTGTTTGGAGCAGAACCTTTTGACCCATTTAACTGTGGAGCAGCAGATTTCCCTCCAGATATTCAATCAAAATTAGATGAGATGCAGGTGATTATTTTAATAGATTGGCTGATAAGTGTTTTATTTCATTTTGATCTGGGACAAAGAGGATGTTATGTACCAAAACTATGGTTTCCTTCAATTATTTTCACTATAAAAACTCACTTAAAATAATTACTTAAAAATAATAATGTACAGTTAGTCCTAAAAATACTCCTACATATGCTAAGGATAAGGTTGTTGGTTATTTAATGGTTCAATTACAATGGCAATAAGATGAATCTTTTTTTTTTTTTTTAATACAAAGTGGCATGGATTCTAATGGTTCATTGTTTTGAAATCCAGAGTTTAAAAGTTATTGAATTAGATTTATAAGATTTGATCTCAGTTTTAACAATTATGAATTTGAAAATTGTAGATGAGAAGATCAGGGAAAATCTCTGTAAGATTAAAATTATTCTCTCTGAAAAGAAGCATTGTAGCTGTAATTCATAACTTTTGGGCTTTTATTTAAAAAGCAGACACCCAGTGACAACTTCTTTAGGAATGTGGTCCAGTTGGGTTTTCATTTCTCTCTCTTCCTTTTACTTTTTTGTTCTAAATTGATCTGAAGTTTGCAGAAATCAGTTTTAAAAGCTTTGCACTATGGACCATTATTTAAAAATAGTCTTAAGAACACTAAAATAAAGTCTTCCCTTTATATTTGCCCTTTATATTTTGGTGAAGTTATTATATCCTATTTTTCATCAAAAAGTTTATATATGGTAGAATCCAGACAGACATCAATTATATGAAGCTGATTGAGAAGAGACAATGAAGAAACTAAAGTAAGGAAAAGGAGGTATTTTTGTTTATTAGTCGGGTTAATACATTCATTCTCTATGCCTCACTTCCTTGAGAAAACAATTATGGGTGAACTCTGGTCTATCACTGATAATTACAATCCTTCTTAGAAAGTTCATTTAAATGCGCTTTTACTCATTTATGACTCCAGCTGTGTAGCAGTCTTATTTTCTAGGTGGTGCATGAGTTCATTTTGTTCTAGATATAGTAACATGCCTGAATTTAAAAGCTGAGTTTCTTAACATCTGCCTTCAGGTTTTCAAAAACTCTGTTATAACAGTGTTTCTCAAGTTGAATGATTCTTAATTCCCCTTTACATTAAAAATTATTTTGGATCCTTAGTATTAACTTACAATTTTTAAATTTTGACAAAAATGTTATAAACAACTTGTCCTTTTAGTTTTTATAAAATTATGACTCAATAAATTATAAATTAAATGAAAGCAAAATTACACCAGTACAGGATGGATGATCTTATTTTTTGAAACTAAAACCAACATATCAAATATCTGTTGATTCCAACATGTATTCTGTCTGATGGAACAGATTTCTTACTTCTTTTCTATGTTTCATATACTATGAAACTTTCAAATGGTGCATGATAATTTAGCAAGAATGCTGTATTTCATATGAAATAAATTCCTTTCCTTTTATATTACTTTTACCCATTGGACATGTACTACTTTGGACTAATATTTTTGTAGTAATAAAGACAAATATTGATGTGGTAGTATTTATTCTCAAGGGTTACCCAGATCATACAGAGTACTTTTATACAATTTTTTTAGATTTTCCTAAAATTGGAAAAAAACATTAATGAGTTTCAAAGATAAACCTCTATCTCTAGATTTTGTTGGAACCAAGTTTGAGACACACTGTATTTTGTGATATGATAGTCAAATAATGTTAAACTGTGGTGGTTTTGCTTTTGCTGTTTCTAATATTTTTTTAATGTCTTTCTTAATTCTTTACTGCTTTCATGTGGGTAGCGCCAGAGATGGTTGGTATATTATTTTTACCATATTTTTAAATAACTTACAACTTTTAAAGCTGAAACTTTAAAACTTGCATACTTTATTCTATAAAAATTCAAACAACAGCTTCATATGGTTATAGGATAATCTGATAGTTATGTTTCAAGAGGTTTCATAAACCATATTTTAAGATTATTTTTCAATGACTTAATCACTAGTGCATTGTCTACTTTCTTTATTTTTTTCTTTTTCTTTTCTTGAGGCAGAGTCTTACTCTATCACCCTACCCAGGCAGGAGAGCAGTGGCATTATCTTGCCTCACTGCAACCTCTACCTCCTCAGCCTCCCTAGTAGTTGGGACTACAAGTGTGCACTACGTACCACACATGGCTGATTTTTGCATTTTTTGTTAAAAACAGGGTTTCACCATGTTGTCCAGGCTGGTCTCAAACTGCTGGGCTCAAGCAATGTACCCAGTTAGGCCTCCCAAAGTGCTGGGACTACAGGCATGAGCCACCATGCTTGGCCATGATTGTTTTAGTCCAAGATTTACTTGCAAGGTCACTTTAAAGTAAAATAATATTTTCTTCATCTAAAGCCTATGATAGCTTTTATTATTAATCTTGCTAGCCTAATGAATCTAATACACAATTTAGCAACTATATTTATCTTTGCATATCACATAAAAACTTAATATAGTACAATGGGTTGTGAATACCTATTGTGTTAATAAGCCTAGTGAGACATTTAGTTTTCATCTTTCATTTACAGAGATTGTAACTAAGCTATTTTTAAGGGAATTGAATTAAGTTTGAAATCACAGAAACATCTCAGGCTTGTAAGCATTTATGCAGAAATGTTAAGCCATATTTCAGTATAAGCAGTTAGAAGATTAAACATTTATTCGAAATCAATAATATAGTTATTCGGTTTGACATAATTTAAATTTTCCAGTATATATCACCAACAGGAAAAAAAGTGGAATAGTATTGATATCCCATGGTGTACCATGTGAGCTATAATAATTTAATACATTGAAAAATAAGCATGGCAAGGTTGCGAAGGATGAAAGAAGCATGCACAAATAGTGTTAAGTCAACACGTTCATACTCTGGGAGAAGATCAGTGTACTGCTGAAACTTACAGCAAATGCCGAGATAAATTTCAGAAGTAATCAACATTTATTTATTTATTTATTATTGTACTTTAGATTCTAGGGTACATGCGCAGATCATGCAAGATTGTTGCATAGGTACATTCATGGCAAGGTGGTTTGCTGCCACCATCCCCCCACCACCTATACCTGATATTTCTCCCCACATTATCCCTTCCCCACCTTCCCTCTCACTATCCCTCCTGTAGCCCCCCCAACAGACTACAGTGTGCGATGCTCCCCTCTTTGTGTCCAAGTGTTCTCATTGTTCAACACCCACTTATGAGTGAGAACATGCAGTGTTTGATTTTCTGCTCTTGTGTCAATTTGCTGAGAATTATGGTTTCCAGGTTCATCCATGTCCCTACAAAGGACATAAACTCATCATTTTTTATGGCTGCATAGTATTCCATGGTGTATATGTGCCACATTTCCTTTGTCCAATCTATCATTGATGGGCATTTGGGTTGGTTCCAGGTCTTTGCTATTGTAAACAGTGCCACGATGAATATGCGTGTGTATGTGTCTTTATAATAGAACAATTTATAGTTCTTTGGGTATATACCCAGTAATGGGATTGCTGGGTCAAATGAAATTTCTGTTTCTAGATCCTTGAGAAATCACCACACTGTCTTACACAATAGTTGAACTAATTTACACTCCCACCAACAGTGTAAAACTGATCCCACTTCTCCACATCCTCTCCAGCATCTGTTGCCTCAGAAAACCTAGGCAAAACCATTCAGGACGTAGGCATAGGCAAGGACTTCATGACTAAAACACCAAAAGCAATGACAACAAAAGGCAAAATAGACAAATAGGATCCAATTAAACTTCAGAGCTTCTGTACAGCAAAAGAAACAACCATTAGAGTGAACGAGCAACCAACAGAATGGGAAAAAAATTTTTGCAATCTACCCATCTGACAAAGGGCTAATATCCAGAATCTACAAAGAACTGAAACAGATTTACAAGAAAAAAACAAACAAACGCATCCAAAAGTGGATGAAGGATATGAACAGACACTTTTCAAAAAAAGACATATGTGAAGGCAACAAACATATGAAAAAATGTTCATCATCACTGGTTATTAGAGAAATGCAAATCAAAACTACATTGAGATACCATCTCATGCCAGCTAGAATGGCAATAACTAAAAAATCTGGAGACATTTAAAAATATTTAGAGTACTATTGAATATTTATCAGACTTTAAATTAGAAAGAAAATTTTATAAGGAAAAGATAAGTATTGACATATAGTATCCGTTTTTTAAAAAATTTGCTGTCTAAAAATATATAAATACATTACATATACATAATTAAAGCAATTAGACAAATAACTAGGAAACTAAAGAATCAACAGATAAATTAAAAAAGTGCCAGTTTGCAAAAGAAGATCACAAGTGGCTTACACATATGTAGACATGTTCTGTCTAATCAAAGTAAACGTACAAATCAAATAAAGAACTGTAAATGCCATTTTAATCTAGAAGATGTTTTTAAACTAATAATCAAACAATACAAGTGAAAGTGTGATAAAATAAACACTCTAAATTATTGCCAGGTCAGAGTTAGTTTAGAGGTAACTCTGGCCTAGCAATCTCTTTAAACAGTAACTTGTTATTAATCTTTTATTTTTATTTGATATCAAAACTTTAAAGTAATCTATTGTGAGGAAAAAATAATTATAAATGTGTTCAAGCTCTATAAATAAAAATACCTAGTCAACATTATTCATAATTTTAAAATGCTGGGAAGCAATCATCATAAAAATTAATAATATTTTATATAGTCATAATAAATTAGTTTTGTGGGAATTTAAAATAATCAGGGTCTGCAAAGATGAAAAGGGGAAGATAGAAAACTATGTATATGTAATATAATACTTATATAAGAAAGTTATATGGCATAAATGTATAGGTATTGACATTATTATTAAAATCATTTTTAAACATCTGTAGATAGAAAAAAAAGACATACTTTAAAATGTAGTGGCTTTTCTTTCCTTAATATGCTTTTCCATTTCAAAATAAGAAAATTCATCAAAATATTTCATGTAAAAAGCATATGGTGAATATTTTAATTATTTAATCATTCTTTTGTGTGACATTAGCTTATGATAATTCCCATCATCGCATAAGTGAATAAAGCCTCATTTTTATTAAGAGGTTTGAAGCTTAAGAGAATATAGAATGATTCAGAGTTTATTAAATTGTGATTTGCAAAGTGGGGCTTATGAAGAAGATCAGGAAATGTGCGGGAAATTTTATCTTAGGAAGAAAGAAAATCAAGAAACCTTATAATATGTAAGGATCCTCAAAAAATCAATTTGGAGAGGCCGGGTGTGGTGGCTCATGCCTGTAATCCCAGCTCTTTGGGATGCTGAGGCGAGAAAATCACCTGAGGTTGTGAGTTTGACACCAGCCTGACCAACATGGAGAAACCCCATCTCTAAAAATAAAAATAAAAAAAATCAGCCAGGTATGGTGGTGCATGCCTGTAATTCCAGCTACTCGGGGAGGCTGAGGCAGGAGAATCGCTTGAACCGGGGACACAGAGGTTGCAGTGAGCTGAGATTGTGCCATTGCACTCCACCCTGAGCAACAAGAGCAAAACTCCATCTCAAAAAAAAGTGAATATGGAGATAGATATTATTGTAAGTGATATACTAACAGGTTATTATTAAAATGGTAATTGACCTCTATTTTACTTTGATGGCTATTCTATTCTATTCTGCTTTTCTGTGTCTGATAACACATTGACAAATAGTATTTTCAGGGTAATTGAAGTGACACTAGTTTACTGTCAGAATGAACTGATAAAATTTAAAAGTGCTGTATGGTATCAAACATTTCCACACATAACTCTCTTTCTAGTTATCATTATCTATCGATGTATCATATACCTACCATTCATAATCTACCAGTTGACATAATACACAGAGCTTCAGATAGTCTAATAAAATAATTTAAAGAAAAATTTATTTACAGTATTTCAGTTTAAAAAATTTATTTTTCTAAGTATTTGCTGGGTGTTTGAAAAACATAAATAAATATGGCAAAATTTATTTTGTGATAAGAACAGATTTTTTAAAAATAATGATATGTACTCTCATATTTACTCAACTAAATAAAAATTCTTTCTAAGTACTGGAAAGACATTTTTAAAAACCTTCACAATGATTACATTGTGCAGCTTAATAACTACTTTTCTCCTCTATATGATGATGTTTATATTGGAGTTTTACAAAGATAAGAACATTTACATACTTATTCTAAATAATAGTAATTTGGGGTATGCAAAATGATACACAATTAGCTAATCTACAGGTAGATATAGTCAGTCTAATTAAATAAAACATCCAAAGCAGAGGTGAATGAAAACCAATCGTTCCCTTTGAGAGACATTTTGTTTTCTTTAGAAATACACTGCTATCTACATATTATTTGCCAATAATGTGTCATGTGGCCACTCCAAATGACAAATTACCTTTCTGAAACATTTCAGTTCTGATAGTAAGAAAAAAAAAGGTAGAGTTTGTATGGAGCACTACCACATTTGCATCTAAAAGGAGACCTACAATATAACCTCCACTTTCATTGATCAGTGCGAGTCTGTGATTTTCATCTTTTTGTAGGCCAATGTGTATAGATTTACAAGAAAGGTTAGGAATGGGAAGAGGTGGTAAGACTGGAGATGGCCCACAGTTCAATTATCTTATGCCAAAAAAAAGAAAAAGAAAAAAAGAGAGAGAGAGCAAGAAAGAGATGGGAGTGGAGAAGGACAGACTCCTTTGCCATTAACTTTTAACTCAAAATCTTGGGGGATAAACAGTTTCATAGCAGTTGTGTTTCTTACACTCAATAAATCAAAGACAACTTAACTTCTAAAATATGCAAAGAAGAGTAGAAGTCAAAGAAGCCAGTCCACTATAAGCAACAGCAAGACTAGTAGGGAAAGCTTTCTCCATGGCAAAGTAGTCTGCAGTTGTGTGTTCCACAGAGGATATGGCATTGCATTTAAAAGAAATATTTTGCCAAGGTTCTGGTCAGGGCTAACCAGGAAGAAAAGGTGAAAATCATCAGGCTATCTTGAGCCTCTCATCATTTTGAAGCCTATCTTAATAATATTTAAATTAATCATTTTTAAAGCTAATAGATTTCAGCTACAGTAGAATGATGTAGTAACTAGACTTTTCTGAAAAAGAAACCTTTATCTTCGAACTACCTAATTTTATGTATTTTCTTCTGTCTCTCATGCATGCTAACTTCACATATCTCTAAAACATTAAAATGTTAATGGGGTCTAAAAGAACTGCTAGTGCTATACATCTATATAAAAATTCAATAAGTCAACATTTGATATGAACTTATTTATTAGTTGATCAAAGCATGAATATTTCAACTTCAGTTCATAGTCTTTTCTATTCACTGATTTTATTTTATTTTATTTTACTGTGAGCATTTCTGATATTAATGATTTTATTCTCTTTTACAGGAGGGGTTCAAAATGGGACTAACTCTTGAAGGCACAGTATTTTGTCTCGACCCATTAGACAGTAGGTGCTGATGTCAAGAACAAGAAATCCTGACTCATGTTAAATGTGTTTATATACACGTCATTTATTATTACTTTAAGATAGGTATTATTCATGTGCCAATATGTTTTTGAATATTTTCATGTTTTGAAAATTATTTCAGTTAAATTTCCTCACCCTCACTATTGATCTGTAATTTTTATTTTAAAAACAACTTCCTGTAAAGTAGATCATACTTTTATGTTCCTTTCTGTTTCTATTGTAGATGAATTATAATTGAAAGACATATTATACAAATATCTGCCTTGTGTCTGGGTTCCATATAGTTAGCATCTTGAGATTTTGTATTCATTTTCCCAGATTTCTAGTTTATTAATGATTTGCCAAAAGCCATACCTTAATGATAGATAACTTTTTAAATTCTGAAGAGATATACCAACGCCAAACTAAACATGTTCTGTTTTCAAACTAACAAACATGTTACTATTCATTAGACAGTTATCATTTCATGTATAAATACTGTTCACATCACTGGGAAAAGGTAAACTTTAAATATAGTGCCACAAGGTCACTTAATTCCTAGCAGGTAAAATTATAAGGATATAAATTCCAATAATAAACCAAATGTATTTAGAGTATTTATTAGTAAATGCAAGGTGATGTTAGTTTTGATCAGTTATACTCCAGATACATAATTTGTTTTATAAAGATAGTGAACAAATGAAAATTTGCTATTTATTAAAAAAAATTAAATTTTATTTCAAATGAGATAAGTTACATTACTATAATGGCGAAGCATCATCTGATTTGATATTCCCTAAAAATCATTTGGAATACATGCTATCTATAGTTTCAGTGATATTACCCATATTTACTTTACCAAATATATTTCTCCTCACTGCATAAGAACTACCCTTCTCATATTTTCTTCTTTGATGAAGATATTTTTCACCAAAGTTTATTTTCTGATACCCTATTATTTTGATACTTTAAAATCTGCACCACCTGTTCTGTATGAATTATCAATATTATTTGGTAAAGTCAATTTGTATTTGTTTTGTTAAAGTCAAAAATCTCAGTTTTTCAAAAAAACCTAGTTGCTGCTCAGTCTAGTCTTGAAAATGAGCAGTAAAATTCTCTTGCATTTCATTCTTGATAAACATGTGACAGACTAATTTGTACTCAGTAAAATAAAAATGTATGGTCAAAATTTCTAACTTGTTTCATCACATTATAAAATAAATAAACTAAATTAATGAAAATGTGACTTAGGTTAGGAGTAGCCCTCAAAAATAGATTCATCTTTCACTCATGGGAATTTTCTTCAAGTGTTAAAGGTACATTTTCACTAGGAAAGAAATCAAATATGCTTACGCAATATATATTTGTGTGTTTTTCCATAATGTTATATGGTATATATGAGCCTTCTTGTTTAGTTTCTTTCATCTGCTAAGTTGTACCTTACTTAGAGGGAAATATATGTTTCATAAGGAAGAGTCTTTATAATTTTGTTCGTCAGATAGTATTTTGGAATTTGTATGAGGATGTTTAGAAGCCTTATAAGTGGCTTTTTTTAACAGATAGAATTTGTATTTTTATTGTACTTTAAAAAGATTTATGTAATGGGTATATATTTAGTGGCCATTTATTATCAATGGTAACACAATAGAGTACTAAGATGGTATTTGCACACTTAAGATATGTTACTTTACCAATTTTTAATGGTAATCAACTCTGCTACTGGCATGATTAAATAGTACATAATCGGTCATTATTTCTCCAGTGCGTTTTTATGAAGATCTGGTTGAAAATTGTATTTCTATGTAAACTCAATGATATGTTTGGTTTTCCTGAAAATAAATGATTTTAGATAAATTAAATTGCATAATTCATTTGTTAAACAATCTCTAATTAATATAGACACATTCTGAAGCTAATTATGTAACAGATTTTCTTGATCATAAATGGAGCTGAAAGAAAAGGAGAGAGTGAGAGAGAAAGGCAAAGAAGAAATAAAGAACTTTACCTCTAACTTCATTTCTTGCAGCCCACACACATTTTAACTTTATGAGCAAATATCATTCAGTTGTGAAAACAGTGAACTGATCCTGCTGGTGAGAGAGGTCATGATTTGCTTCCTTTTACCAGAAGCATCTAGTGCAAAAACTGTATTATGTAAATATCAATTTCATAACTGGAGGCTTTTTTAACTTAGCAATAATATAAAGGCTGATAGTTTTATAAAGATGGACTTGATAATAGAATGTGTGTTATGACTAAGGGTGCAATCATGAAGTTTTGAATCAATTTAAAACATAATGTTAAGTATTTTGGGGAGAGGGGACTCACATACACAGCCTTTGAACACCAAGGAACAATTCATCAATTCATTCAATAAAATTCATTTAGTACTCACTTTATGTGAATAACATGTACTTTGTGCATAAGAAAACATCTAGTAAGTTTGCTAACAGATACGTTAAAGCTATTATTAAATTGACAGGATCCCTGATTTTAGTCAGTTTATTGTCATAAAGGGAAAGTATGGAAAGCCTGTAAATTAATAAATAAAAGCCAATATGTATTACAGCACTGTGTGAACCAAAAACTTCCCTGGGAATATTTATATTTAAGTGTGTTTCAGTCTGGGTACCTCGTACTAGCTGATGTCAGATATCAGACTGCCAATGTGAAGTTTATCAGGACAGGCCAATGGCAAAAAGATTTTCATCTCTTTTTGTTCTTTTATTTTGGATTTGGACTTTTCTAAAAAATTTCAATAATATTATGGGAATGTATTTTCAGTAGGATATCTGATAGATAATATGTTGCATGTCTAAATAGTGATATTTTTTATTCGTTTTTATGTTACTTAGCATAACCCTGAAAAAACTGGCTGTTAATGTTTTTCTATTCCAGTGTTTCCACATATACTTCCAAATTCAATATTTACTCATGATTTTGGGCTTCATCCTCTGTTAAATTACTTGAAGAATCTTGGACTCAATTTTGACAACTGAATTTCAGACTCCACCTAAACTACACCCTTTATAGAGAGCTCATTAATTTGACAGTCATGGTTGGAATTGCCCTTGGACCCCTGCAGAAAGTGTCTTCTTCCTATATGACTTTAGATAAATATTTAAGATCTCCCCCCTCTAATGTCCGTCTCACAAACCTTAATTTGACACAAACCTTAATTCTTGTATATTTATTTCATGTTTTGACCTTTTGTTGTTATGGTCCATGATAATCCACTAATGAAACCCCTTCCCCCAAAGCATAATTTCTCTAGAATTCCAAGTGGGATTTTCTCAAGCTAGCAAGAACACCATCTCCTAAAGTCATTTATGATCTATTTTTTTGCTTTCAAAATATAATCTGAGAAATATGAATATTATTTAAGTAGCAGATAGCATTGTCTTTCTCTGGATTCATTTTTTTCTGCTTTACTTCTTAGCTTCTAATGAGTACTGTAGTACTTCCAAAATCAGAGTTAAATAATGCACAAAAAATGGCATGCTTAAGAAGGAGTCGAGTTTAAAGGCGCACTTCTCGTTTTTCTAACAGTACATGATAAATTGAAATAACCAAATTCCTTATTTCTGTATCATTAACATTGTGCTTTTTGTCAGTTAATAATACCACCAAGACTATGTAACACAAATTTTGTAACAATTTAGTTTCTTTACCTTAGCTACATTTTTGGCATTCATTCAGATCTATATACAAAATTCATTGAACCAAATCTTCTAGTTTTCAAGTGATTCTATAGACACCTTAGAATATTCATTAAGACTTTTAAAAGTTTATGTTTCCATTAAAGAAGACCTGACTAGAAGCTATAGAAGTTGTCTTCTTAAAAGCATTCTCCAGTATTCAGTGGAATAACAAAGATCTCTATGAAAGAATACTCTGAAATCTCATAATATTTTCTCAGTACCTTGGAAATAATCAACTTATGATAATTAATGTGTTTTGTAAAAATAAATAACACATTGTCTAAGAAATATCTTTCCTTTTGTATTTTTAATAAAACATTTTTAAAATTTTTGCTATGTATTTTTCAACCATTTTGAAGGAAGGCTTGCCTTCACATCCTTCCTCTTTGGTACCAAGTACAACACTTTGTCCATAGCATTCATTAAAAGATTGAATAATTATTTAGATGCTTCTTGCTAATTATCTGAACTTATATTTTTTATGTTCTCTTGGAAAAAAACAACATGTCTTCAAATAAATGTTGAGAGAAGATAACCACTATTTATTTTCAATAAACTCTTTATTATTATTTTAAATTCTATTGTAGCAATAATTTGCTAAGTAAAGCTCTTGGTAATTGTTGAAGTTTGTCTGACAATCACCATAGAATCATAGACTAGTCTGGCCCAACTGATGGAGGAAAAACAAAATAATGGTTACTGAACGTCAAAGAGGCTATGAAGACTCAAACATGAATGTTATGTAATTAAGGGACAGGGCCTGTGCTCAAGGGGTTGAAGAAGTATATATAGTAAGCAAGTATATTAAAAAAATGACAGTTAAAAACTCACACTGTAACTTTTCTTGATTCCCATATTGTGGTCACAGATTTTACTGGTTTGAAGTATTTTTAAGTTCATTTTTCTGTTCTTAACTTTTTATTGTCCTCTTATTTCAAATGAGCTTTCAGAAGAATATGTTGGGGTCCTTCCCAATTGCCTACTCCCTCCCCTCTGTCTGGCTAGGCTATTATGTTCTAGTCTGTTCCAAAGGTCACTTGTTCCAGTTGAAATAGCTGTCTGGATGGCCTGGAACTCATCCAGACACTGGCTCTTTCCCGCAAAGAAAGCAAAGATAGATGTTTGCTTCTTGGCTACGTTTTGAAAGGAAAAAAATAAAAGAATTTTATGCTTGAAAAAGATCATATAATTCTAGGAACCATTTAAAATTGTCATTATTTTCCTGTTTTGTGTCTGTTTTTCTTTTTTATATACTTTTCAAAATCAGTTGTTTACTATCAGTATCATTAGATAAATAGGCAATTGTGTGTCAGGAGTATATACAGTTAGATTTTCATGCATTTTCATTAAATACTAATTTCTTTCTGTCTCTCGCTCTCTCTCTCTCTCTCTCTCTCTCTCTCACACACACACACACACACACACACATACTTCCTTTAATTCTTTATGTATCTTATTCTTAGTAGCTGCTTTAATTAAAGAAAAATAAACTTGAGTAAGGTTAGGCAGTACAGGGAATGGAGGAGACAGGTAGTGAGGAATATTCATAAATCTTCATAGATATCAACTTACCCACACTTGGCAAAGTGGCTATATACACATATTTGACCTCTTCATTTTTCAGAAAAGTTGGACCATCTTTGGCCCAGGGAGTATTTAGAACCATGCAGTTATCTGAAAAGTTGTTTCTACAGTGATTTCTCTTTAATCTCCCCTAGTTTCCTCATAATGCCTGCAGTTTTTGTCTTTTCTACATAAAAGGAATTAAACAGAAAAATAGCTAAAAATAAGCTGGTTACTGTTTTATTACTTGCAGCCACCAATGGCAAATAGAAAAACAAATCTTCCTTCCTTGGAATCACTTGAGTTTGTAAATTTCAAAACCATATAGTTCTTGAATTTTTAAGTAACTTCTAAAAAGATTACTTATGATGAACAAAGTCTGATCTACAAGGAACTGTTGAACTAAATTGTTAACACTCTATGATTTGATGTTGAAGCTTTGCTTACGGCATTAGTTCAACCTCCTTTGACATTGGGAAATACATGCAACGGGGTTTTATGTCACTTGACATTCACAAACATTAGCCATTCTTGGCATAAAGAAAGGAAGAAATTTCCGCCAAATAAACCTAAGACTTTAAAAAATTACCAGAAGAATCGTGTATTTTACATTATTTAACTTGCCTACTAGTTGTAAATAAATATTGAATCAATGGCTTCTAAGTAAATAGTGTACCTCGCTCAGAATTAGAGATCATAATAGTCCTGTAAAAAGGGACAGGAACAATCACAAAACTGTTCCATCTTTTGAATCTCTGTGTTGTAGAAAGTTTTACATAAAATATTTCCACAAAATATTTTGTGTAAAATATTTCCCTTCATGACAATCAAAGTTAAATGCAGGGGAAAAGCATGATTCTCTCCTTTCTCAACCTTTCCTACTCTTAGGTACATGTTTAAAGACAGACCTCAGCAGATATTTACACTTGTAAAATAGAGCCTGTGTTTCTCTACAAAAATGTTATTGGCTGCCACATTTTCAGGATGACTTCATGATGAATATGGCATGTCTCAAAAGAATTCCAAGGCTCCTCCTCTTTCCAAGTGAATATTAAACCTTAAAAATTCCAGCCAAAAAAATTCAGTATTTTTTGATACATTGAAGTATCAAAACCCAAGTATTCTTACATGTACTCACATGGATAGAAATGTTTAGATTCACAGAGAATTTGTTCTATACTTGGGTTTTGCAGGAGGCTGCCTGTATGTGTTTAGGTTTTGTAATGTTTGTGAATATGAATACTAGAATACTTTCTTGAAATAGATTCAGATAAAACTTGCCTTTGAAATGTTGAGTTATACTCTTTGAATGGCTTTTTTTGGTCAAGTCTTTCTTGTTTGTTTTAACTATAAAAGAAGAGAAATGCAGAGAATATTAAAAATTCTCAGCATGCCGTTAAATCTTCCAAAGGCAGCAATTGCCCTGTGACTTTCTCATCATTTTGCATCCTTTCCTTAATCCTTAATCACAGAGCTGAAGCTAGAGAAAACAGCTGGCTCTGTAAACCACAAACGGCTCAAGTTTTTATTATGTTATGCAAATTGATCAAAACTCTACAACTTTTTAGGAAATAATTTATAGAAAGAAAGACACA